TTAGGTTTTTAGATTGTATCATGAAAGAGCAAAAAAGCAAAAACAAAAACAAACCGAAACAAACAAAGCAAGCAAACAAAAAAAAGGAATGACAAAAGTTAAAAAAAAAACACAAATATAATGCAGTAATGTTTTTATACAAATTTGAATTTCATGGCATGATTTTACTCCAAATTAAACTTGACACAAATTAGTTATCTCTATGACATGCAAAGAAATCAATCCGCCAATTCTTATTCTTTCAATTTTACATCCGTTTTTATGTTGCCTCCATCCTAAAATCGAATTAACTTGCTAATTTTGGAGGATGAAAATGTCCACGCATCTAAACTATTTCGCGCATCTTTGTTCATCTTAACTATACCAATCGTATCCTTTAAAAACAGAAAAGAAGCCATTCATTTGATATTCATAAATCTTACCTGACTTCTTCTGTCAGCCTATACTTTCTACTCTAAACAACTTGCGCAAGTCGATCATCTTCCTTTACGGACAAACAACTTTTCAGTCTAAGTGAAAGATAACACTCTAGTGCTTTCACACTAATCGCGCGGACGTCCCTACTTAAATAAGCAGCATTTTTTCTGCTTCTTTCCTCGTTTTAAGAAGTATTTAAAAGCATTATACGAAAAGTGGATATTTCAAGGAAGTAATATGACGTTTTCGGATGCTCTTTTCTATAATTGTTATCAATTAAAACTTGTAAGTCTTAGAGATTCCCTAGAAATCGATGCCTCGGGCTTATGAAAACGTGTTGGCAATACTGTCATGGCACCTCCACATTCCGGCATATTGGTCGCACTACAAACGTGGTCGATATATCTTTAGTGAATTGACGATAAATGAATTCTTGCATTGTTTGTCTTATTTAAACGATTATTTCCAGGCACGTCTACATATTTTAGAACAATTTTAACATATGTATTATTTTACCATATTAAATGTAGATAATGCCAACCTAATGTAACTAATTTTTACCAGTAATAAATTTTATTTTTTTATATTGTTTACATGCGAGCTTACAGGACACCTCTATACCGTAATTTTTTTTTATCCGCTATTATACTGAAATGTATATCATTTCCCTATGTATAATTATATTCATTTTACAAGTGTTATTAGCATTTTCGCCAATATTTTTAGCCATAGTTTTCCTTTAGTTCAGACAAAACAATGCTCCATTCCGCCATATATACTGCTGTCATTTTTCAATGTAAGAGTTTAACTATCGCAGCTTGCGGTACCACTATCCTAGTATAGTATTCAACACCGCAGCCCACTTTAGATATCATTGTGTTAGTTTAGAGATACAGTAAACTCACCTTTTCATCCATGGTATATCAAGAGGATTTTGATATTTAAAAAACACAGAAGCAGCTGCATAAGTACGTTTTTTTGTACCACATGTCAGGCTCTTGCTTGCGCCGATCAATATTTGTTCTTGTGTATCGAGACGGATGTGTGATAGGTATAAGACAGGAAGTCTAGGCTGAAGAAAAGACGAAAGCGTGGTAATTGGTAGTCTATTTTTACACTCAAAGATAACGAGGCTGCGCATGCGCATAAAGTCTTTGTTTTTTTTCTGTAAAATGATGTACGATAATCCAACCAAGTTATTTCTGAAATCCAATAAAACCTTAATAGGCCTTTTGCATGAAACGGTCACATGGTACTAAATCCGCCATACTGGATGGCAAAAGAGTGTAAACAACCTCAAAAACAGCCCGTCAAACTTGACTTTTCTTTGTTTTGAACATCTCAGTGGTTATTTTGCATTCCAACTAAGACTGCACGAATAAGATCTCGAAACTGTATTGCTGTGCACTTTGATTTTAGTCTTTGGCTCTATGGTGTTGCTGTCCGTCGCTCTAATCTTTTTTCGTTGTGACATATGTTGCTTACGCGCTGAATCCATCTTTTTCTAGAATTACTTTCACATCTGTCCAGTACACAATGTGGCAGCTTGACACGTGATGGCCTGGGGCGCGCGGGATTGGAACAAGGGATCTTGGCACTAGTTTGACGTACAATATATATACAAATACACAGAGGTTTTTCACCCTCCCCTGTGAGATATTCCTGATAAATTTACATGATTATATACATCTACTTCAAAAAGGTTGATTACTAAAACTCAGATACTGAATACGCGTATTCAAAAATCGAAATGCATTTGTCATATTGAATTCCATGTTTAAAACTGCCATTACAAAGTGACACAAAGTGAGTTTTAAATTAAATTGCTTTCCATCAAAGGTCGTCACTATAAATAGATAGTATTATCATTTTGAAACAGTGAACAGCGGCATTGTGACTGGGAACAATGCATTTGAGTTTGTAATATCCTGCCCGGCATCACAGTATTTCAACATCGTTTTCTGAAATAGCTCTATAAAGATTAATATAAATCTCAAGACAACGAGGTGCATTTGAGGGAGGGGACCTAGTATGCTGTAAAATAGGGGATAGGGAGTTTCACTATATTCTAGAGGGTGTGCACTGTAGTGGGACTGCAATGTACTTTCGGTGGTGGAAAATACGCAAAAACCACTACGTTATGCGAAATCATCTAAGTAGCTTATTATATTTTATTTTTATTTGTCAGTGTACAACTAGTATAATGAAATCCTGTATAAAGGTGTCGAAGGTGCCATTGAAAGCAAACTTTAACCGCTTCATTTTAAATTAAATCACTTCCTAAATTTCTGTTTGTTTTTATTAGCAAAAACAAGGAATCACTGCTTTGTTAATATTGTGTTTTATCTAAATGTGCAGTTGTAGTTTTCTAGAAGGCGTTGATATAGAAGATCTTTTCATTCTTGTTTTTTATTTGTTTATTTACGCTGCACTATTTTGGTCCTTGAAGACGACATTTCTAGTATGTGTTTAATATATCTCTGGAAAAATACCATTTAGCTTATTTATAATTCTAAGTCAGATTTATTTTGCTGCAAAGCTTTTATTTTTGTATTAACGTTGGTTCGTCTTTCGGCTTTCATCGTCTGCTCAAAAAATTGAAATTCTTATAAATGTATTGCTTTTTATGGTTATATAAAGCAATGGAAATTTTGTTCCGAGTTAAAATCGTTAAAAATCACAATAGGTGTTTTCTTCTCCAAAATCTGAGCAAATATAAAAGATGATATCAGTGCAAATATTGTCAAAGATGGCGGCCGAGGTGGCAAAGTTGCGCGAGATTCATTTCACCTCGTGTTGAAGTTGTGCTGTGATTGGCTAAAAGGTGGACAACCCATCAAACATGTCATGTAGTTTTGACAAGTTGTTTTAATGAACAGTTCTCAGAGTTTACACTTCTTCATTTCGTGTTGACTTTTGTTTGGAAGAAATTCTCAATATTCATCAAACAGTCACCGAATCGATGGTTTTTGGCATTTCCTCAGTCCGTARGTTGATAGGTTAATATTATGTACAATGACTTGAGGAAGTACAGTGAGGTTTAGATCACTCAGAGAGCAGAGCTTGAATAAAGTGATTGGACGAACACGGTGAACTGACTTGGATCAACGTAATTGATTTAGTGTGTATCTACGATTAGCCTGGAAAAGATTAAATTACATTCACTTCTATATACACCAATCACTGGAATATCTGGTAAGCATTATATCGCGGTGTATCTGGTAAGCATTATATCGCGGTGTAATTGTAAAGCTACAACGCTGAATTTGTTAAAAATTTATATATTTTTTTGGATTTCAATTTAGTGTATCAGTTACATGTATTACAAATGTAATATCTTCAATTTTTATTCAAAAACACCCTTGTACGGCAATTTTATATTTTGAGAGTGTGGTAAAGTCTTAACGAAGTATAAATTCGTTTAGTTTACAACGGAAAACGCACCAAGATGACATAATTACAAAAAAAGGTTTTATTTGTATTCGATGCAAAGCTCCATTGCTTTATTCTCGTCATATATATGTTAGTTGATTGGATTTAGAAGTACCGTTTTGAYGTCAATTTTAACGTAAAGATTTATTAAATAATGACCGCAATGCCTGTCGGGCCCAGATAAACCGCTTCATACGATCAACTTTTATTGAAATAGGTGTACATGAATACATAGCAATTTCACAAGAAATTAGAGAAGGCTCTTTTGTTGAAGTTGGTGATCGTATGCCAATATTTTCCAAACCATATATTTACATTTATTGAATTAGTTTAATTATTTTTTTTTCAAGAATTTTTCAAAACATTAGGTAATAAGGAAGAAAATAAGGTATATTTCAAAGTTATCACACATGAATCATCTTGTTAATAAATTATCGCAGACCAATTTCTGTTCAATTTATATCAGCAAAAATCACTTGAGTAAATATACAGCCTCACGTGCACCGAGCTGCWCGTTTCCAGGAAAAAAACTCACGTTTCCAGGAAAAAGCCGCACGTTTGTTAGAAATTGTTGCKCGTGAGTTTAATTTCTTGATGGCCAACCAGAGGTTTTACCACATCAATATCAGAATATTAAAAAAACATATCCTCCGTATTTGATGTAATTAAGAGACTTCATCAAGGAACTTGATGAATGAAAGCCTCACGTGCACCGAGCTGCTCGTTTCCAGGAAAAAAACTCACGTTTCCAGGAAAAAGCCGCACGTTTGTTAGAAATTGTTGCGCGTGAGTTTAATTTCTTGATGGCCAACCAGAGGTTTTACCACATCAATATCAGAATATTAAAAAAACATATCCTCCGTATTTGATTTAATTAAGAGACTTCATCAAGGAACTTGATGAATGAAAGGTAAACCTTTACAAATTTACTCAAACGTGTTTTCTTAAAGTCACGTGTGCAATGTATTTCCGTATGTATAATCACCTACATACACGCACGTGACTGATTAACTCACGTACGTATTGATAAATTTACGTTTACTTAACGCGGGAATCTTGCGGTGTAAGCTATAGGAGTATTTATCAATCTTTAATTGTTTCATTATATTCAGATCCTTCGAAAGCCATTCATAAACCTTCAACAKATAACAGATAATGTCGAATTTGAGCTCACCCTTCGAAAACGTCTCCGTCAACAGAGCCTGGAGCGAGAATTGGGAAAACTACAGCGTGGCATTTTGGGTAATCAAAGTACTCATTGCCATAGCAACAGTTGTTGGGAATGGTTTCGTAATKTATTTGATAGTGACACGTAGAAAACTCCACACTACAGATAACTGGTTTATCCTGTCACTAAGCCTGTCAGACCTGTTTGTTGGTCTTTACATCACRCCATCAGAGCTGTTCTGCCAACTCATTGGTGCCTGCATAGAAAATAGCTTCGTYAGATTGGCTTTCCCGAACTTCGTTATCATAGCTTCAATTTTTAATCTGTGTGTTYTAACSGTWGATCGYTACATCGCRATTTTGTATCCGTTACATTATGTCACGCTTATGACGTCGTCGCGCGTGAAACAGCTGATATTTGTCGCTTGGTTSATTCCAGCTCTCATCACYATAGTAACACTACTGCCTCTAGTGATCCAAGAACTCTTGTATGTCAATCATTACCTGACTATTTTATGGATTATATTGATCACCGTGATACCTTCATTAGCTCTCGTCCTCATGTACATGCGTATTTATATCGTTGTAAAAAAGCAACAAAGACGAGACGCTCAGMGAAGGTATTTGTCGTCCGCRTCGCTAAGAAACGCACATGTGAAACAGCGGTCACGTGATCGATCATCGGTTAACATGTTGGGCGTGGTCATCTTGTTTTTTGTGCTCTGTTGGCAGCCGTCAGTTTACAGGGCGATTTGCGAGGATTTTAAACAATGTCACGTGACCAGTCGCRTGCARCAGTTCGCGCGTGTTCTGATCCTTGTGAACTCTTCTATCAATTTTGTGGTTTATGCGCTCTTAAAAAGGGACCTTCGTAAGGAGTTCTTGAAAATATGCAAGAAAATAGTGCGGGAGAGAAGTCATTCGACTAACAGTGGCCGATCCGCCTCAAGTGGTCTGTCGGCGACATCCGTTCGATATTTTCATAAGGTTTCTACATCTAGCAGAGAGATGGTTGGTGTGTTTATTGGTAGTACTAGGACACTGTACCCTACTGATCAAATTGGACAACAGGTCTAGCACGTGTGATATTTTCATAAGGTTTCTACATCTAGCAGAGAGATGGTTGGTGTGTTTATTGGTAGTACTAGGACACTGTACCCTACTGATCAAATTGGACAACAGGTCTAGCGCGTGTGATATTTTCATAAGGTTTAATTTCTACTTCACGTATAGAGATGATTAGTGTGTGTATCACTAGCAGAACAATTCAGTTGTGATACTCAGTGATAGTATTTAACTGCAGTTATACCGGAAGAATGAAATCATTATTGTATACGGCCTTATCCTTTTTTTAATTAGAAATGGTTATGTATATAACATTTCAAATGTGTGTATTGTATCATAAATATCGTTATAACTAATATTGTTTTTAATATAATTAAAACTATATTATTTTTATCATTAATATTATGACTATTATCAGTTTTTCATTATTTTTATATAACGAAATATATACACAACTGAAAAGATGATCATATTTATCGTCATTGATACTATCKTTATTATTATYATCATTATTATTGTTATTATCATTATTATTATGTTATCAAATATACACGTTTAGATGGTGATTATTGTTATTGATATTATGAATATTATTATTTTTTTGTTAATTTATATTTTGTTTCATTTTAAGTATGTAAATATACTTGTAACTATAAACTTGTAAAAAGTGTATATATCCGATAATTATTTGTCATGTTGTATTACAGCTATGCCAAAAAATGTTTCCAAATAAATGAAAGCTGTTTTAAAGACTAGAACGTTGAGCACTAAATACTTGGATACTGCAAGAACTGTTGTGAACATTTTCACGTACAGGGAAGAGCTTTTAAAAATAGAAAACAATTTGAGTTGAGAATTTTGTAACACATGAAAAATAATTTATTAAGAGTATTAGTCTTCCATGGCCCTCTCCTATTCGCTTAAAGAGCGAATCATAGCAAGTAAAATGGCAAACGYTTATTACAAAACAGGTTGTTCACATAACAACAATTTAGCACACTTGTCCATTTAATTAAACAAAATTGAGAAACCTGTTTTAATTGCGTTTTATCCAATCCTTGTATTTTCAGCTGTCGGTAACGGAAAGTGTATATAAACAAACATGCCTGGTTTTATTAACCATTTGGCTATGACTAAAATTGACTAATAAAAATATAAAAGACTTATAAGATAACTAGAATTTTTTGCTGTAAAATAAAATAGCCTTAGAAGCAGAGCATTTCACTTAAGGAAATTTTTTATGGATTTAACTTTTATTTATGGATTTAACTTTTTTTAAAAAAAAAAAGGGAAAAGGAAATGATTTTGATTAAGGCAGAGCAAATTCTAAGTGTATAGTATAKCATTCATTGAGACGAAAAAATACTTATTTGCCACTATAAGCTCCAAATGCCTATGAAATTACTCAGAAAAATTCCAAAGAAGAATTCAGTAAGCTTGCTTTTCCCTACGAGTTTTCGTATACCAGTAGTAGATACATCTATTTATGTATAATTATATCAAGATAATTAGAACTGTTATTTCTGTCTAATTGATAAGGTTCGTGTTTATTTAGCTGTCCGAATGGGTTTTCTTTTTGTTATATTAAATTTACAATACACTTTTGATCAAACGTTCTCGAAGCAAGGCCTAAAAAGAACATCTGATCAAGACGCGTTGGTTTACGATGAGAGGCCTTCTACTGATTTTCGTTGTGGTACTCTTTGTTACTTATGGTAAGTTACTTAAACGATTTCATTCTATTGTAAATATTTTTTAAGCTTAAGGGTGCATTTTTTCTGATGACTGTTTTTAATTTTCTAAAGTTCTACTGTTTCGTTTTCGTCGAGTTCTAAAACAATACTGATATCTACCTAGATTCTAGAAGTAAATGTGGAATGGGATTACACTGTAGGTCACGTTCACCTTAACCGATTTTGTTTTTTTTGTTTGTTTTTTGTTTGTTTTGTTTTTTTTTTGTGTGTGTAAGTTTCTCCACTTGAAGATATTTTTTATTGTATATGGACAGAAATGGTATCTATAAACTTCATGGAAATTATCAATCCTTGGTGATATTGCTCGACCCATAAAGGTGTTCCTTTTTTTTTACAAMGCCTAGCTTGTACGTCTTGATCATTATTGAGATTTCTTTTAAAACGAGCGGAGAGCTTTGCAATTTATTATTTCAAATACTTTATATTTTTTATTTTTTAAGATATAACATTAGATCATTTTTGGGGAATAAAAATTAATACAGCCAAACTTCTCTTTTCGAAAAAAAAAAATAATATGGTATCTATCCTTAAGTTTAAATGAACGCAATCAAATATCTAAAAGATACGCAATGCGAACCGATTTCAAATAGTCTCCTTCACGGTTACATTCGCCATCTTGAAAGGTAGCCATGCCTTTGCATCGAATCGAGACGACCGTTGAGCGTGCAATGATAGAAACCTTCTTTCACACCTACAGACAATTATTCTCAGGTATCTATCACAGCACGCTCAACGGTTGTCTCGCTTCCATGTTAAGGCACGGCTACCTTTCAAGATGGCGCAGGTATCCGTGAAGGAGACTATTGCTAGGTCGACCACGCCCTGTTCACCACAGTCTCATCACATGCTAACCACGTGTTTTTAATTCACAGCCTCAGCATTAAAATGTTACGAATGTAGGCACTCAAGKACCTTGAAAGAGTGCGAGGCCAGCCAGAGAGTTAACAGCGAATGTGAACAGGGTGACCGGTGCTTCTTAATCCGCGAGAAACCCCTTGGAAGGAAAGASATGTATGTACGTAAAACCTGTGGTGGCTACGACAAATGCGATAAATTCTGCAAGGACAAGAAGGACTGTACMATCAAGTGCTGTGCCCACGACTTGTGTAATTGAAATTGGGAGAAAAKGAATTGATTTAAAAAGAATTGATTTAGTTGATATGCTTTAGTAGTGATTAAATAAAAGTTTGGGATCATGGTCCATTGTAAGTGATTCCGAAAACATGCAGATACTTACCATTTTGKGAACGTACTTAATATATCTTWAAMATTGTCGTTCTTTGTCACATKARCGTCGCAGCTCAAAAAGTTTTACTCTTTGTTTCTTTATTTTCATTGTATTATTCATTATTTATTTACAAATGCCTTTATTCAAAGCTACGTTATAGTAATCAACTACACAAGCAAATAATGATTTCATACCAGCAGCTAAAATATACTTTTTGTCATCATTTATATGCTCAACTCTATCGCACGAGCACCATTGCATTGGCTAACTCAGAAACAATGTTAAAAGGATATGTTTAGAGCTGCTGAAAATGAAATTTCTATCAAATGAACACTGCTTTAGCTGTTTTCCAGAATGGGGACCCAGTCTTTCTCACGATTTCTAACAGCGTCGATAGTTACATAGGTGTCAGCTTATATTTCTAATTTCTGGTTATTTGAAAAGTCATTATATACCTGTTATCTCGTCCCATTGGGTTTTCCATGTTCTAACGTAGTCTCCATATTTTCTTTCACACTCGTTGTGCAGCATTCACATATTTCGTCAATTTCTATATTTATCTATTGTATTCCATATTTGGAARATCATTTCTTCCCKGTTTATGTTGTTGGCCAATCAAAGCTAATCATTCGTCAGTTGGTAGGAAAATTCCAAGATAATTTGAATTCCAWGAGTTGGTGGCTGAATCAATGATCTCAGTTCAYAATGTCGCAAAGTTTTTATTTTTTGATGTGCAAATCACAACTTTGAAACACACTTCTTCTAAGTCAACACCAAAACCATTTTAAGGGCATAGCCGATGTGCCGTTGATATCAGGAGATGCCTCGTAAGGTTACATAGAAGAATTCATGTCAATCCCAGAAAACAATATCAAATTTAATTGGAAACTTGTAGCTAAGAGGCTGCATTTCAGGAAAGCATTTTTTGTGATAATTAGTAAAAACAAAAAACTCCGTACACTTCATTCAATGTGCAGCACCCCTTCATTTCAGTTTCCAATGTCTTGTGGGATATCATTTCCATTTWAAGAAATTAGTTCTCTCTTTTGCAGTTACTGTATTAATACCATATWTTGGTCATCATTTCCATATTAGGCAATCATTTAGAATATCTGCTATGGCTGTTTCTTCAATATATCGAATAGAAGCATTTAATTTTGAAAACTAATTCAATATTTTTGGCACCATTTCCTAATCTGGCTGGCAGTCACAATTAGAATCCATGTAGACTAGTTCCCTCTATAATCCAAAAAACCGTATGTTGTGATCGTTTCGATCCATATTGCAATATTTTCGGATCTTTGCTCTAACCACATTTTTCKAGATATCCACAACAGCCACTGGATTTTAATTCCCATGAAATGACATGTTGTCATCACTTTAACTTTGGCAGTCGCAATTGATTGTCAATTCTCGATGCCTTATTTCGGGAARCACTTCCAAATTTGGCAGTCACGGTAGACTAGCTTCCTCCAAAATCCAAACCATTGAATTAATAAACCTCAACGTTGTCGAAGAATCGTTCATCAGGTAAAGCTGGTATGATATTGCGCCGAGAAGTAAATAATCAGAAACAGAATATAAGATATTGGAAATACTATCCGTGAGTACTTGTCCAGAACATGTACACCTTTCTCCGGTCGTACAGTCTTCGCTGTCTTCGTAATAAACCGAGCTACCGACGATTTACGTTGCAAGTCTCGTCGGCTCGGTCGCCGTCGACCGGGAGTTCTTAGACTATTACTGGTAAAGCTCACATTGCTGGGTTTGCGTATTTTAGGGAAGCTGTTGTGGTTCATTTGTTTTAACTCCGACGATGATTCCATTTCCATATTGGATAGAACGGCGTAGTCGTCGCTCGTGTCTTTGAAACGGAAAGTTTTGTCCCCTGAAGTCACTGTTACAATCATTTGCTCTGTCTCTTCCTTTGTTCCCTGAAAAATATAGTTCAACTTTTAAATTGGTATTATATTTTTAAACGCTTGAAAGCATACTATGTAGGAAATATGGAAAAACAATAAAAAAGGTTGATCAGTTTACAAAGTCTGTAAATGTACTGTAAATTACTCAATTTATAGACAAAATATAACCTTGTAAATTGATTTTACAATCTATTTACAATGTTTGATCGTCGAGCAAAGTTTACAAATTATTTACAGAACTACAAAAAAATTACAAACTTTGTAAAGGGAAATTTGTCTGAATATTGAATTTAATGTATATTATCATATTATTTACAAACTCTGGAAACAATCCCCTTGCCAGTGAAACGTTATAAAAATAGTGTGTATTGAAATATACTGGACAAGTACCATCTTGTTACATACCTGTGATCCAGGTAAAACACCCGGCAGATCGTCTTTTCCTTTCCGTTTTCCTTTCCTAAATTCCTTGATGACCAGCACGTACTCGATCAACGACATAAAAACGAACACAAATGAGATGAGCAGAAAATAATCAATCGATTTCAGATACGACACCCGGGGCATCCCAGCATTCATTGAGCCCCTCATGTAGCTGATTGTCAGTACAGCTGATATGCCAAGGCCAACGCGTTCTGACCCTTCAGAGTGGTCGATCCAGAAGGCGATCCATGAGACGATCACAACGCATATACAGGGAATGTACATTTGGAAAATGTAATAAAGTGATCGTCGACGGAATCGCACGGTTGCGGTTAGACCAGAGAACATTTCTGAAAAAGAAGAACTCTTCATGAATATGTGGATTTTCAAAGTGATATTGCAGAGTTTTCCACACATTTTACCTTTGGTATCAACCAAATCATTAGAAATTTTAAACCATGCACTCCAACACTAGCATGAGCGGTGTGCGGAAATATTAGATCGCTGACAAACAAATTGATTACAGTCATCTCTCGCTGTTACGGACACCCTCGGGAACGTAATTTAGTGTCCGCAGTAGTAGCGAGAGTCCGTAGTAACGAGAGTTACTTTCAGTCATTTCTTGGTATTTTTCGCCAGGGATTCAGTATTTTACTGTCCGCAATATCGAGATGTCCGTTGTAGCGGGGTGTCCATAAGGCGAGAGTTGACTTTATAATGATGGAAATCCGCTAGTCAACAATTTTGACAAAGGAAGCAGACTACCTTTGCAAACGGCGTCATAAAGAGAGCACGAATTTCGGAATCATATCGTCAATCTCTAATACTTCACATTAGTTGCCATCTTTATGTGATATAGTAGTGCATGTACTCGACTTATACTTACGAGAATGGTAGACAGGGTGTTTAAGAAATCGTTTAGCACTAACAATTTCAAACTGTGCCATTTCTTTATCGTATATGAAGATTTCTGTACCAAGGCCAAAGGGAGCCCGCCATGTGTAATTCAGGTCTTTATCTTCATAAGAAACTATATGGAAATTATCAATAACCATTAAAGAAATCGTGCTACAATGATTGGACAGGACGCCCCTCCCTAACATCTGTGGGGGGAGGGTCTATAAAAGTCTTTTTGACTTACAACTTTCTATCGGCAGGTGGCACGTCTGTTCGTCCATTGGATAGTTCCGCAAGTCAACTTTGCACGAATTTCTCGTTGTTAACCTACAATATATATTCATATAAATTTCATAAGTACTTAACGCTTATATAATTATCAGATATAATACGGGGACTGCGAACTCTACTGGTTATACTTGCCCAGACCAAAAATAATGTAAATGCACTTAAAAAAGTTTTTCATTATAAATTGGAATTTAATACTTTTCCACAATGTATGATTTCTTTTTTTCCGATGCAAGACAAAATGAACCGTCAAATATTTAACAGATTATGAAATTTCTGCAGAAATCCAGCAGCTTTTATACGAAATCATATGCTTTGTATGTCACGTTTTTAAAATCACGGAAAATGTCTTGGACTGGGACTGGCGCACACCTGTTCCCATAGACATACATCTGTCTAAAAAATATGCAGATTCCAACAATTTTACATCCCTATAATCTTTCAGTGAGGCTTAATTTAAATATTAACCAACTCCATTCATTTTGTCTTACGTTAGAAAACTGTACTTATCCGGCCGGTCAGTTCRCACGAAGAAAAGTCAATTCGCCTTGGGTTTCGATAGTCAAATCACTCGAAGTCATTTCGCACGTATATTTGGTCAATTCGCCTATTCGCTTATAAATTAGCAAAGAGTCTATCGGTAAAAGTTTAATGGTTACGTACCTAGCGCTAAGCATTACTTCGCCATCAACTAAATTAATCCATACTTTCTTATTAGAGAATATCAGAGTGTGAATCTTTGTATCAATAGAATTACAGAAAAACGTATCRGGAACCCAGAGCTTCTCGGATGAGTCACCGCTAAGGATTATGGACCGGTTTAGTCCAAAAGCCAAACGCGGCTCGGTCCAAAACTGGCCCAAGTACATATCCACGGTRAACTCCTTTAAATGAAAAAAATGGGTACCAATTAATAATTGCCTKATTTTGATATTGGTGAACTAAATATCAGTTAGATTCATTTCTGCGCTTTCAGCCACCATGGGAAAATAGATCGCTAAGACGCCAAAACTTTGGTKAAACAGTTATAGAATGGAATGTTTGGAATCAGATGCCCCGCCCCACCGAAAACAATAATCATTCTTCACTTTGATTGCCTTTTACTTTTGTGCGGGCAAGATTCACAGCTTGGGACTGCGTTTTTGTCAAGAGCCTTTATCGCTTATATAATACACTCACCATATTTGTTTCACTGAGCTCACCAAATGATAGAAACAGCATGTTGAGCCCAACTTCGAGTTTCTTTACTAATAAGAAAAAGAAGAATGAGATTTTGGCTTATAAACCATATGAAAAAAGTGAGCAAAAGACTGGGAATATAAACACCTTAATTAAACGATTAATGTTTTCAAATACCGCAACACTTGTCAAGCTGTGTATTTAATTTATTTGGATTATATAAAACTATAAGCACGCAAAAATAGTGTGTTTTTGTCAAAGAAATCTTTGGATTGCACATGTTCTTTGGACTCACCTCCATAATACGGTCTTATCCTCTTATCGTAATGTTTGAATGTCTGTTCAAGAAGTCTGGATACATTTTGACCTGGAATGTTTGCTTTTTCGTCTAGTGGACGAAACGTGGCCTCGGTAGTAGATCTTGTAACATAAGCAAATGTATAGTTTAAGGTAGTCGAAATGAGAGTGGCTATCTTTACTTTTTATTTAACTTTTGTCTTATTTTTGTTAAGTTTTTGTTGTTTTTGTGTTTATGCTGGTTGTAAATTAGGATTCATATTTACTCACTCTGATTGTATTTTCTTTTTCTCAAGCAGCAATTTAACCTCTGCATCTGTCAAATTACCCCAGCCAGGTATCCTGAGAAGAGAAGAGAAATATTGGGTAAGTCTTTTCATTTGAATCTCTTTAATGTCCAAAACGACAATAAGTTTTTACGTGCGCTTATTGGCTATTGACTAAATGAAACGAAATCAAGATGGAGGCGCGCAAAATAATGCTCGAAAAAATAGGATCCCTGTGCTATTAAGTCTTGGGCCTTCTCGACTGAAGCTATGCAATGGAAACGAACAACRTGGCCGATTCTTGAAAAAAATCGCTTCGCTATGATACCTGCAAGTTTTAGACAAAGAAAATGACGATTGCAACAGACTCGTCGAATCGTCATGTGATTCCATATAAGGTGAAATTACCATATATGGCTGCTAAACAAACATATACTTATTTAAGGCAATTCATTTATATGAAATGAGGAGCCGTTTAATTGGGCAAGCTGTCCTAAATATAGAGCTGTTGTCTTAAAGTAAAGCGTCCACTGTACGTCTGTATGTGCGTGTTTTCGTGACAGAGAGATAACAATAGGTGGCTAACAGTATGGTATCTCTGATAAACCCCATGAGCTAGTTTATAGTTTAGCGATAAACGTCATGGAACAACACAAGAGTGACTCGTTAGTTCACATATCTTTTGWACCATTTATTAATACCACTGAGATCCCTGCGAACCGTGTCGTTCCTCTCAGTGCCGCCTATATCCATAAACAATACCTTTTGACGTACGTCTTTGTATTCCCGTTTTTCTTTTAATTTTAAAATGTTTAATAAACAAAGAAAATTGCAGTAAAAACAAGGTCTCCGTTGTGCTTAGTGAAAATACGKTTTTTTGAGAACAGCAAAGAACTTTCCCCGCAATATATGATTAACAAATTATTTTAAATATTACAACTCGCTTTACTATAAACGGACGCTTTTCTGTGATTTCCAAAAAGCCATTCCGTGGTTGGCACTTAATTGGCTTCCTTGAGGAATTCTATTCATTCATTGAAAACGTGTAGATTACCGGTGCCTTTTAGTAAAAAAAAAGCCGGTATCATTTTTGGCAGTTTAAATGGTTCTTCTTTTCTGTATCGATTTATGGTTGTCACTTTTGGCAAAATCAAAAAGCAAATTTTTCTAAATTTTTACAAAAAAGAAAAAAAAATGTGATGCGGTTTCATGGACGACAAAAATTCATAATTAATCATTGGTTGCTTTGTATGCGTCTTCTAGAAAACGGTAATCCATGTGAAATTACACCCTAAGATGCTGAACTTGTTCATAAAACTGCCATAAATACTTCTTTCATTAAATATAAATCAAGATGTTAAAAAAAGAGGATTTCATTTGTTGTCTGCTGTAAGATCAAACAATTCAAAACCCGAGTTATGGTTCCTAAAGACACCTTATCTCAAAATCTCTAATTTTAAAACCCGAAATCCCACAAAAAAAATTGAATAATGGTGGATTTTAGAGGGTTTTTACAAAGCTTATGTGGTCATATTTCAAGTTATCGTCAGACTAACCCCAAAAAAGGGAAATCAAAGGTTGCGCTGTCAGTGCTTGTTTGTAGACAGTATAACACTGCAATATCTTCTAAATTGTTGTAATTAACCAGTTATTAATGTAGGTCAGACTTACGGAACTGTTGTTGGCTTGACAGTCGTTTTGGTAGGGTGGTAATCAACTGGAAGAGATCTGCAAACATAWTGGAAATTATCATATTGATTGCGACGCATTAGGTTCAGAGCGCATTCAAATTGTTGCGCGCTTTTTTGTTATTTTTGGAGTATAGCTTGTTAGTCTCTTGCGCTGTAAAGGTACTATTATACTTAGAAGACAACTGTCTAGTTTTCTTCATCTTTTGGTCGTTATTATTCCACGTTCTGTCTGTTTTTAAATTAGCTTTTTTAGCTGTTACTCCTCAGGTATAATTTCCAGAAGTCAACCTATTTTAATCAAGGTTGTTATTCGATAATGATATACCCCGAAGTTGGTTTTCTCTTTCTCCTATCCATTGAAATATTATAGAGCTTGTCGAGCTCTTACAGCACAAAGGAASGAATATACTAAGGGATAAACGTTTTGGTGTGATGAGTAAATTTTCTCTGTTGTACTCTTATTGTGTTGACACTATGTGATTCGTCGTTTCCTTTTTGTATGATTATATAAAGTGAATTAAAATATAWGTTTTTGAGTTCTTGCACCTCGTAAGCATACGCTTAAAATGACTATTGTAGCTGTTTTTTCTCTTACTACATAAACGTTTTCTTCTAGGTAATAATCATTTAAGTGAGATAAAAAAAGATTTTTGATCTTTCACACTTGTCAAAATCAACTTTGAGAATGATAAGTTATTTTTCTCTGTGCACTGATTCCTCTTAATTTTCTATTACCGATTTATAAAACAGCCGTTTTACTTCCTTTTATAAATTGAAATATAGCTTTTTTAGTTTTGACACCACTCAGGTAGACCTTTATAAAGATCACCGTTTTGAAAATTAAATTATATTGTTTTTCTCATTGTCCTGCTGATTCGCTACGTAATGTATATTTCTACTTTGAAAAATATATATATTAAAAGATTAAAAATAATTTTTTGGCTATAAATTACCTAAGTGATTAACTAAACCTCCGGAAATTATGAAAACACACTTATAAATCAATATAGAGTGAAAATTAAAGATTCTGCCACAGTGAAACCTGTACCGATGMTCTAGCCTTGTATAACTTTTGGAATGATTACAATTTTTGTTTACAAAAACTTAGTTTTCCTCTCATAATACTTATATGCAATTGTTATGTAATTCTGGTTTTTCATATCACTGTTTCAAATCTTCCCACCGACCGCAAGCCTAGCGACTGCCCGAATACCAAACTTGTGTATATAGATCGCTCTGTTGTATCCTACTGGCTTTTCTAGCGGGATAGTCCAATGTTTTGTAGAATTTCCATTGAGATTACCCCAAGACCCAAACTATTCTCAATACGACGCCTTTTTAAGAGCGAAAAGACAGTCCAATGTTTATAAATTAATCTTCTGAATGGAAAAACTGGGGAAAGTCATAATTCGTCACCCTATGTGGTCTCTTCTTTGCATCTTCAGTCATTCATGTTTTTTTCTAGTGAGCAATATGCAAGGTACTCTAAGTCAGTAATACTTAAAGTGGAAAAGACTATCTCTTTGTGAATTTCTAGACGCGCCGTGTCATACCCTCCGGTTGTATATAAAATAAGAATAAAAGACAACTGAATTCTATATCATTTCTACAATATCAAAAGTGCTTTATATAAATACGCTATTGTTAAGAAGATCGCTTGGGGAATCTGTTTTCAAAACTCAACCTTAGTTTCTAACACATTTTTTCGCGTTTTTTGTCCGGTCGCTTTTTTATGAATCTTTAGTAGTATTAACATGTGCTTTGAAGGGTATCTTTTCATGGCTATACTAAGATACAACTAATAGTTCACGACAATTAGCATTCACTACAATTATTCAATACCTTGAGCTGGCTTTGGACCACAGGARAAGTAGCGTATATAGTAACCCTCTTGGTAGCTTCATTTAGTAACCTAAAATGAAAAAAAGCCAATGGAAGATTACGTCAATTACTTTACGATGTGGTTTTGACTTGAGCTTGGCGTCTTGAGTGCTAAAAATTCTTTTYCAAGGGTTYTAAAGGGCTGGCGCTTGAYCGTAAGGACTCACCTGTTTAGCTAAGGCGCTCAACATGAAAATAAGAAGCTTGGAATGCGTCCAGTGTGTGCTAAGGACCTTGCTGTCGAACTGATCGACAGCGCTGGCAGTAAGTCTAATTAAGAACCATCWCGATTACTCAAAACCCCTTTCTCAGTCCAACAMACTGTCTCYGGTTCACTGTGCAAATTATTTCCAATAGTGTTGGCAATTTGAAAATTAATGAGAAATGCAGATTTGGAAGATTTAAATCAAAGTCGATTCAGCCATTTTGATGTTTCAGGTTGGACGACCGTCAGTGATGTTTTTCAATATATTCATTGAAATGACAAATACACAGTTGAATTCAATAACGACGGATTAGCTGCGTAATTGCTGCGTTAACTTTGCGCGTTTTTAGACAAAGACGTGTCAAAACGCAAGGAAATCATGATGGAAATAAGAAAAAGGTAAAAAAGTACGACTWTATGAGTCTAAATGTCAGCATAGTGTACTACACAATGTCTGAAGTCGAATAAATCACACCRAGCGGTGCCTAATTATAATGCGTTGATTACTTTTTTATTGTAGAACATAACAATACCGGAAGACAAAAAACTCAAATCCAAACACAATTGATTGTAGAATACTTGAAATTTGTTCAATATTGTATCRTAGCCTAAACAASTTTATTACTTGGTTGTTTTTACATCAGACGTCCCATTTTGCTAGCAATATTACTCCTTGTGCTTTTCATCTATGCGCTGAGCAGGAGCTCATTTTGAAAGTTATAGCCCCCGTGAATTACCGCCGTTCGTGTTTGCAAAATAAAACCCAAAATATTTTAATTGAAAACCGGAATATCGTGTGATTATTTTATAAACGATAAATACATGTAATTAAAATAGAAATTCAATATTTTTAATACCTGGGAATATATTTAATTCTATGTAAAAAACAGCGAATTCATCAAGGCTCGTCATCAAAGACAGTATGACCGTAATTAATATRGATATGTGACTTTTACTTGGCTTTTATTCAAGACATTTATCTAGTGTTGAATAAATGGACGCGAGTCTTTCATTCCTGCAAATTTGGGTATCAATTTTGCTTGCTTTTAAGCCATCGGAAATGACAGGACAAGTGGCGTGTTTGTTAGAAATATATAGATTCATCAAATTAACCCTAGTAAAAGCGAAGATAAGCTTGAAATCACTGCAACTAATCTTGAATTTTCCGCCAATTTTATTCTTATTCTGTTGAGGTTTTGGYTCGTGTTTCCTTTCGATAAAGTCTATTTTGATCTGGTCGTGCTTGGCGAAGCTTCTTCCATAGCTCTCCTTTAGTACTATGTACATTTTTGACGCCTCTTAACATTCAATTAGAAGGCTTAATCAGCACAAAAGCGCATCCAGTGTGAACCCTTTAGGGTGTTATTCGCGGTAAAAAGCCATTCAAATGCTGATAAGGTATTCCAATGCCTTTCAAATGCTGAGAAGCCACTTCAGTGCTGCAACGTGATTGGTGATCTAACTATAACAAGCAAATTTCAAAAAAAGGAGCAACGTGGCTAAGCATTTTATACGAGATAAGAAAAACAAAAAAACAACACGCTTTGTATCTTAAAAAGAATATATATAAATGCTCTTTTAAAAGGCTAAAATGTTCTTTTATAGATTTTCTTAAAATATCCCTTATAGATTTACTTAAAATATCCCTTTATCATATCACATGAAAATATTGCCGATAACTTGACTGTTTTCATCGAAAAAATTAGTATGTGACTGAAGTAGAAAAACACTATTTAAAATCAAGTGGTATATATATCTTAATAAAAAGTGTCAAAACACTTCACATTTCTTAACAATATATTTGTGTTGTTATAAAAAGTCATTAAAATACTATACAATATCTTATTATGGCGCACGGAAGGTGTAACAAGATGAAAAGACAGAAAACTCCATTCAAATTAGCTATTTTGGGAGTCACAAAATTAGTCAAAAAAGTATTTTTCCAGCAGATATTCTATTGGTAAATTTTCATTTTATGTTACTGTAAACGTTTGCCAAATCAGTGCAAACATTAGAATCTAATCCTCAAGATTTAAAATACAGACTACTTCTTTAAGTGCTAATTAAATTGTTGAAAATGGGGGATTTTATACGCAATGTGTACAAATGACCACCTTTTGAAGAAGCCGTGCTGWACTGAAAAGGTRGATCATAGATCATTACAGGTCATAGAAGCTGAGGCTGTATACATCACATTGAAGACAGGTTGTCATATTGAAAAGCTAAATCATATAGATTAACAACGTTTCTTCAATTTGATGTATACAGCCTCAGCCTCTATGATATGTAATCTATGATCTACCTTTTCAATGTGACAACGTTTCTTCAATTTGATTTATACAACTTCAGCCTCTATGATCTGTAATCTATAATCTACCTTTTTAATATGACAACGTTTATTCAATTTGATGTACTCAGCCTCAGCCTCTATGATCTGTAATCTATGATCTACCTTTTCAATGTGACAACGTTTCTTCAATTTGAATTATACAGCTTCAGCCTCTATGATCTGTAATTTATAATCTACCTTTTTAATGTGACAACGTTTATTCAATTTGATGTATACAGCCTCGGCCTCTATGATCTGTAGCCTACGCTTTACCTTATGGATACGAGTATACTGAATTTGTTGCGTACGAATAAAAAAACTGACATGGAGCTCCCAATTCAAAATGCACACTTGCGTTAACTAATAAAAACCGACTATGTTGCTGAGTAGGTCCTTTAGCTAGTTAAGTCTTTAATCTAAGCTTCATTGCTAAATTGCGGTATATTCATAGATTTCTTGTTTGAGGTTTGGAATGATTAAGTTGTGGCTTATAGGAGTTATATARTGTATAGTTTCTTACCGACCTTGATTGAAGTGACTGCATACATCAGTGAATGCCGCCTGAGTATCAGCATTATTATAATCAATAAAATGACTAAGAAAGTCAAAGTCGAAAAGTAAAAAAAAAGCAATTGAAGGTTATTTGTTTTATTCGGCGMACTTGAATTGAAGAAGAAAAGATTTGACAGGACCATAACGAGCCGCGTTTACCACTAATTAGCAACCGTGTTAATTGCTGTCCGATTGTTTTGGTTATCTAACGCCAATCTCTCCAGAGAAGTCACTACAGACAAGATAAAGACATTAAAACCCCTTTCTCATTACTAAACATGACCAAAGTGTAAGTTCGATTCAGAGCCTTCGGCTCGGCTCTACGACAACCAATTACCGGAACTGTAAGCAACAGTACGGAACTCAAACTGTATATCGTAATGATGGTATCGTTTTAACCAGCTATCCTCAGATAAAATATTGAAGTTTCAGACGAATACATTACTTCGAAAGATAAAAAGCTGTGTTATTCATTTCCATGAGTTTGTATACGCCTCTAAGGTGATATCAAGTTGCTTGTGAAAAAGAGAAGTTGCCATGGTAGCGGACCAAATGAAGCCTCACGGGACACCTTATTTCTCGTACGCTAWYGGTTGCTAGGTTACTGTACAATTGAAGCTAAAATTTAATAGTCGAGGCTGGWAGAATCGTGTAAAGCGCACGAGATTTAAGAGTTCAGTTTCACTGATGACACAGGCAGTTTTTATATACTCTATGTCACATTAATTCGTCAGTTGATGCAAATACAGTTAACTCTCTTTGAACGACCACTCTAGTAAGCGACCATCTCCCGTTTTGTTCAGTTTCCCATATAAACTCTGTAAAAAAGACTTTCTCGTAAGCGACCATCTCTCATAAGCGACCACTTTTTCCTGATCACGATGTGGTCGCTTACGAGAGAGTTGACTGTAATATCAAGACTTTCGTGTGGCTAAAACACATCTTTTGGTTTTGAGTGATTGATACTGACCGTTGGTCGCTGATGTCGGTAGGCAATCGAAACCAAGGCTCACCAACTGATGCAATTACTTTAGCGATCAATTTAATTAAAAATGCYTTTTGTTTTGATTTATCGTTCATAATTACTGTGGYCGGTTGTACGAAGATGGAATACCTCAGTTTAAGGGTCTTATTAGCGCAGTCTTAACCTCGTAGGCGCGTCATATATTCTTTTATTCATTAATAACACTGTGGTATTGCAAGAGATCTGTGGACAGTGAAAGCAATAAAATTCTATGCGGGATTCATGAAGCTAATACTGGGAGGGAAACTTCAAAAGAGGAGATCGCGCGCTCCCMACCGAATTGATATACCGCGCAATTTCATACTGAATACACCTACAATCTTTTGCAAAATCACGGAAACACTGTCTATGATTGTRTTACTACAACCTCTACTTTTCTTCTACAATGTTGTTCGCCAATGAATTGCTACAAAATCGACAAGGATGAGGACGTGTGGGCAACCTTGTAGTGGGGATAGGGGACAGGGTGTCCCGTATATTTTGCATAAGATTGCAGACTGCATTGGATTGTTTCTATTAGACTCTACTTATTAGCTGCGTCACAAAATGACTATTCTAAACCGCAAAATTGCTTCCATTAAAGTTCTTGAGTTAACGGAGCTGGTATAGTCACTCTGAAACTATTAAAATTCCTTTTAAACGGATGAACAATAATGCATTGCGGTTCTTAAATGCACTCTACAGTGTCAATATTCAACGTTTTCTGAAAAGAGCTGTATAAGGAACACTTAAAGGAATAATAACAAGTATTATCGGTATATTGTTAGAAATTTTCAGAAGTTTTGCCAATGTTGTACCTACTAATAAATTCTATTAATCAGGATTATAATAGGTTAATAACGTATATGTAAATAATTTGATATTAATGGTTATACAGCCTTTTGCACAAATTATGAGACATTTTTATATATATAAATATACAGCCTTTTGCACAAATTATGAGACATTTTTATATATATAAATATACCTAACCAAATATCAAAAACACCCCAGAAATTATGGTATATCTCTATTATATTTTGTCATGATTGCCTAGCATCAGGTTGTTACAGACAAAATATCAGCGACGGTATCCCATAATTTCTTGGGTGTTTTTGATATTTGGTTAGGTATATTTATWTATATAAAAATGTCTCATAATTTGTGCAAAAGGCTGTAATGCCATAATGTATTATATATGAAGTACCTATTAGTGATGTCTGTCACTACTATATTGATCTTCTTTTATCCAGTCGGCGAACCTTCTCTTTGTGAGGTTGACTAAAACCAGATCGGCACTTTCAATAACGATCAAGTTCAATCGCGGAGTGGATTTTCAGCGGGTATTTCTCATGATGATTWTAATTACTGTGATTTATACGCATTAAGATTCAACCAACGCGACGTTTTATATTCACAAAAGATCCGAATGGGTGTCATTAGTRAAAAGAAAGTATCCGATAGTTAGAGGATATCCTTTGACTGTCTTTATAGTCCATTCCGCTGAAGATATCCGGTAAAATTATGCAGCTGATTATGATCTGGAATCATTATTATTGATTTGTTTTTTTACATTATCATCATAAGTGTTCTGTTTCAATATGACGTCATAGATTTGTAGAAGGCTGCTAGGTAAAGAA